GTGAATTTTATAAGTCCACGGACCATAACTCTGCACAAAATCATCAGACCGGAACAAAATTCGAAATTGATCTGTAACTTGTCATGATAAAACAATATACCAAATATCATATCAATATCTTCAAGCACGAAGAAAAAAAGTATGGGATTTCGATTTGTCGGACTGACGGATGGAACAGACGGACATAGTGCAAACCTAAAGTCCCCTTCGACTTCGTCGGTAAGGGACTAAACATGAGCATAGAAACTTAACAGCTAAGTACACTGATTGTCTGTCGAAAATTTCGGGGGATGTTGAATATCTACCTAAAAAATACTTCGGAGAAACTATGTCAATTGAGGCAAAAATAATTGCACAATATCCCACGATATAAAAATATATAAAAATATAAATAAAATGTGTAATATTATCAGCACATTTGGGTCGCAATCGATATTAATAAATTTCGATAGGTTATTGAAGGAAATATTAAATTTATAAAATAGAATGATCTATATAAATTTTTGTCTTGTTATTTACGCCATGTCAGTTTTGTATCTTACATACGTATTTTTGGGATAAAAGACAACGCTTTAACAATTTTGAAGAAATACGTAACCAAGGTAGCTGAAACGGTATAAATACAATGTGAAGGCCTGTATAAGAGGTCCGCCGAGAAGTATGGACTGCTACTGGATAAAATGGGCAAGTTTTAGGGGAACAAGAACGTAGCTTAGCAACAGGTCACCTGTGGACTCCTAAAAGACTTGGTGTAAGGGTTCTTACCGAAAAGACAGCGTTCCATCACAAACATGAGGTATCGGATTTAACGTCCACATTCTGACCGAACGCGGTTGTGTATTTATACATCCAATTCTGTCAAACGAACGCACCACTATGCCTATAAGTTTAGCCCAGGTCGGACCTGATTCATCACATGTATTTACCCCAGAGATATTGCAATGGTTATGTACGTGCAGAGAGCGTGGATTGATTGATTGTTGGTTGCTTATATGGCAAGTAATCATTCTCTTGACCTTGAGCGTATAAAGGAAGACTTAAGTTGAGAGATGAAACTACAATCCTGCATGTTTGCATACTTTTTAGCGTTTAGTGGCATACATGTTTTTTTCTTTTTCAATAACTATTCCCCGACTTACATTATTATCTCGATGTAGATAAACTTTTGATCCATACTGACCACTAGTACTCTGTCCTTTAATTGACCCATGCTTACCGCAAGCCTCGGTAGACTATCAAATTAGTTCTCGACAGTCATTAACAGTGGCAGTTCTTGACAAAACAAAAAATCAAAGAAAATATATGGAATAGTATGTCTGCAACGTCTGCTCAAAGAATAGGGTATTTTTAGAAAGTACGGTAAAGTAAAACAGTATCTTACATCTTAATAAGAAACCACTACAAAACATGAGTTTTGGATGTTGAAAGCTTAATTTGAAAAGCCAAACAAACTGGTCCGTGTTTGAAAAAATTGACATTTCACAAAATTTGCATACATTGTAAGTGAATTATAAAGGCATAGCAAAGCCGCTTTTGGTTGCTTCTATCAGCAAATTTTATTTGGTGTTTGGCTCGATAAACAAGTGTTTATACACAGTATTGCAGTTTCAGGCTTTAATTTATGACATATATTTATTTAGTGGAATTTCAAATGAAATGTATCCTGCAAAATTGCTTGCTTTTATAAAATATGACTTGCCAAATATTTCTGTGATAAATGTTAACTTATGTTCATTTATAAAAAGTAGTAACATTGTGTTTCACATATTGATAATAACAGCTATGTTTATTTTGCATATTTATATACTATATTTTACAAGGGTTTATTTATAAAGACTATTAGCCTTGTGTGAACCATCATGGTCGATTTGTTTTTTATTGAATAATTCGACCCCATTCTTTAAATCCGTTCCCTTGTACAGGTGAAGCAAATTTTAAGATATATTTTGGGCATTTGGGTTTAAAGTCGATATGGCTCTTACTGATATGTATGTTTCCTGTAAAAACCATTTATTTTTCTTCAAATTTTAACAGAATATTTTCAAAAAGTAGTCCATAGAACTGTTCTTTTGAGGGGGAATTATGACTTTTGTCAATAACTGTGCAGTGAGTTTTGAAGAATATTATTAAAATAATAGTTCTTACTCGTACACTAGTTAAAAATGTGATGTTTAGTGTACCAGCGCAATCACAAACTTGAAAAAAAATCGTAGTAGTTTCTTAAAGAATTTATTAAATATAAGACAAAAACCACTGAAATATCCTGACATTTCTAAGCAAAGTTGAAATAGATGTAAGAAAACATGGTTTCGTAAGTGCTCGGGTATGTTAAAGTTGAAAACACTTTTGTTTAGATGAAGGAACAAGTAAATGTCTATGAAAAATGATTCCTCCTATATTTGCGTGAAATCATGCGTTTGGCAACTAAATTATATCATCTTAACACATAACTTCTAAAAGAAATCAAGCTCGGTGAGGATTCGCTTTTTTTTTCTCACGTCTTGAGTAGTAGACTTTAGTACTAAAATTTCAAAATATTTCTAAAGATGCCAGTGGTGTATGGGGTATGCTGAACTAACCCACACGAAAAAAATCGCGTGTTCGAATCTCACTGTCAGAGGTGGAAAAAATATTTCCTATATTAAATGTAACTTAATTTTCAATTTCAAAAAGAAAACCAACGAAATATTTATGTTTGTTTTAAAAAAAAAGTGTGCCCAATGCCCCCGCCCCCCTTTGTTTCCCCTTTGCTCTATTGGGCGCGGTCCAGAGTGCGCCACATCAATTTATAATTGGCAATTCAATGAATTTTTCATTGTAAAAATCAAACTTAGTTTACTGCTTGGCCGTCCATGTAGTCATAAGGAAACACTCCCTTCCTAATCATCAGTTCAAAACGGTCTCCAAAACACGTCTTCACCGCTTTAAATTTATCATTCGTTACATTCTTTTCTAACGTGTCCAGCAAGTTTGGCTTAAACCTACTTGAATCAATGAACCTCATTTCCAAGTGCACTACTTTTTTTTAGAAAAAGTAATGAACTTTTCGTCAGTGTTTTGAATGCATTTAATCTTACCGTCGGTAAAACCCAACTCCTTAACAAACAGGTGAGCGTCGTACCCAGTTAAATTTTAAAACACGATGTGACAAATCTAGTTTTTCTTCTTCATTCTAATTCCAAACCATCATAACCAAAAACATTAATGTTAAGGCCTGTATGACGTCTTTCAAATTTGTCAATGAACTTCAACGACATTGGAAAGGAAATAACTTAAGCTCGTTTTCCTTTGTTTTGTTTTGACTTACCCGATTAGTACTTTTTTGGTCTACTTCTTCATGATGTAGCGCCCATTGAAAACACTGATCATCCTTATTTTTTTACGTCAACAATAGTCTTATTTTGTGCCCCCCAAGGGTGACTGGGGAATAGAAGTATGGTCACCATTGGTCTTCCTCCGACCGGCAGTAAAACCCGTGCTGAAGTGGGGCGTCCGTTCGGCTGTGCGGGATGTACAAATTTGCAGCCACGTCCGGTCAGAATGGGGACGTAAAATCCGATGCCTCGTGTAAATAGAGTGCCACGCTCTTTGCACGTTAAGAACCCTTGCAACAACTCTTTGAGGGGTCCGTAGGTGACCTGTTGCAAGGCTAAATTTCTGTCCCTATCCAATATACCCTCATTTCCCGTGGCAGTCTAAATTTCTCCGACCTTAATCCCTTAATCTATTACAGAACCTACCTATTGTATTTATTGTGAACTTGTTCTCGTCCTGAATATGCATGAAATATTTGCCACTGGACGTTAAGCAACCAACAATCAATCAATCAATCTTATTTTGTGCAAGTTTGGCTGGTAAAGATATGTATGAACTTCCCTCGAGTGGTGTTAATTTGATCACATGAATGTGTAATTGCTCAATGTGACCAAAGGTCCATACAAGTGAGAGGTTTGGCTAGCTATACAACCAGGTTTAATTGACCATTTTCTACATAAGAAAATGCCTGTACCAAGTCAGGAATATGACAGTTGTCCATTCGTTTGATGTGTTTGAGCTTTTGTTTTTGCCATTTGATTAGGGACTTTCCGTTTTGAATTTTCCTCTGAGTTCAGTATTTTTGAGATTTTACTTTCCACTACCATCACGCATGTACTTTGCTATATTTTCTTTTACCTTTTCTACCATGAATACAATTTCTAATTTAAGGTCTGTTGCTTCACTGATAGTAAGAACGGATGATCTAAAGAAAGGGGTGACGGAAGTACTTTCTCCAGTTGCAGGGTTTGTTTTCATGAAAACTCTACTTGATGCACTAGTTGTACCTTCAAAGCCTTTTTTTGTAAGTGCATCAGAAATTTTACCAAACATGGTGTCTCTTCTTCCCTTAAACATGTATCTAAATCATGTGGCTTCAAAGGTTCAATGGTTACTGTACCAAATACACCATTGAGTGCGTCTCTTCTATTAGTAACTTTAATTTCGTCTTCCACTTGTGTTTTTCAATCTGATTTGTTACTATTCGTAGTAAATTGTCTTTTATCATTCGACATAGACCAATATTTTCTTAAACAAGTGTTTGCTAGATTAAAAATGAATTGGCATTCAATTGAGAGGGTTGTTTACTTAAGGGACACTGTAGTGGTATTTACATTCTAATCAAGTCGTACGTACTCTTGTTTATTTTTTTTTTACTTATTTTGAAACCTTTACTTCTTACCTAAGCACCTCCCAAAGGCTCATTCTCTGTTTAACCCACTGCAAGCCCACACTCTTGTTATGTCTCCTTCCCTTGAATTCATGATTAGTATTCATCTCTTACCAAACTTACCCCTAACCCCTAACTTAACATTCACAATTCATTTATTACTCCTATTTGAATTTAAATCCTAACCCCTAACTCAACTTTCAAAATTTATCTTGCCTTGAAGTTCGTTAAACTATTTTTTCGTACGTTAATTAAAAACAAAATGCATACAAACGTGACAAATCAATAGAAAGAATATATTTTCAGCATACAGTAAGTTTAATAAATCAGCTGCACAATTATACAATATTACAGTGTATAATAAACAGAAAATATTTTCATTAAGAAAATATATCTTCGTTACTCAAAAGTACAATTTCATATATTAGCTGATTGAAAATATAGCTCATCTATTTTTGTATAATTCTTTTTTTGAAGGTTCGAATTGAACAGTCTGTTTTCTTTTCAGTATTTTCAGGACTTGTTTGTCTTGACGTCATTTTCGCTTTTTTTGTTATAACGGAGTATGATTTATAGATAAATCTAGGAAAATATTAATGGAGCCATATTCATGTTTTTAAAAAAGTAGAATTTTTGGTGAAAAACTTTTTCTTTGAATATACATATGGAAATACATATAGAAAACGAAAATTCCAAAATCTTTAAAATGTCGAAAAATAAAACTAAAACTTTCATCCAATACAAAAATTTAGATAAATTGTCAAATCCATTTTTGATTTTTCCGTATCTTGCTTTTGCTTTGGATATCTTTATTATTTGCACATGTTATACCATTCATGTGTTTTATTTGATTAACAAGGAGAAACACACGAACGAAATCTTGAAGAGTCATATAATTATATATGATTAATTGGTTAATTGAGTATAGCAAATATATCATTCATATTAAGGACGAGACGTATAATCAATTAATATAATACGTATATTTGACTTTACCGGGATAAAGAGGGGGATAATACCTTACTTTACGTCCACTAGGATAAAAAGTGGATAAGTTAATTTAAGTCTATTGGGATAAAAAGGGGGATAATAAGTTTAGTGGAAAATGGGGGGGGGGATTATCGAATAAAAGGGCCGAAGAGTAATCGTCAGCGAGACAGCATACCAAAAAAAGTATAAAATTTGTTCTACTTTACTAACCATCCATATAGAATATATTTATGTCGAGACAAATGATATTTTTCATGACATCTATAGTTCAAAATTAAAAATTCATCGCAATTTAAAGTTCACCGAAAACATATTTTCATGGTTTTTAAGATTTTCCGAAGGGGGAAGTAAACAACACGTCTTTGGCCTAAGCATTTTGAATGACTGAATGCAAAACCAAATTCCGAATCCGAATAAATTAAGTCATATTCATTTACGCGAGTTTCTTTTTTACGTAAAAAAAAAAGGCATTTCCGTCAAAACCATTACACACAAACAGACAATTTTCTTTTTTGTCAAAACGAATTCCCCACGGCCTAGCCAGTCCATCTGATTCAGTTAGAATTTCTCTATAATGTGTACCGTCTTTAGATACTGCTACTACATTGTCCGTACAGAAATCAGTCACGTACACATTTCTCTCACAATCTGTTGTCACACGATGTAAATTTTGAAATTTATCATTTGTGAACTGCCACATCAGTTTTCCATCTAAGGAGCAGCAGTATATTGATGCATTGTCTATACAGACCAACCTGTCGCTGTCTACTGTAATGTTGGTGATGCTGTCTGAAGGTAAAGTTATAGTACGTATTACTTCACCAGTTAGGTCCATCACATGTAGTTTACTCCGATAAATAACAACGTACAGGTTATTTTCATAATATGAGATTCCAAAGCAGAAAGCACTGGTTTTGATTGTGCTGGTGACAGAGCCTGAAGATATATTTATTATCATTATGATACTGCCGTTTGTACAGGATACTGCTACAGTATTACTATCTATTTCTGTCATATACCAAGGTCCACAAGACAGAGGCATTGGATGGATATCAGTGCCGTCTAAATTACAAATAAAAAGTCGTTCATTCATAAAGTCGGCAAACAGTAGTTTTTTGCTTATTTTGATACAGTCATAAAGGTATGGTCTTTCATCTTTTGACAATCTTAAATTCTTTAACTGTTTACGCAAAGTGACAGAAACAGGAAGATTGTATTTGACAGGTGTTTGAGCTTGGACAAAAGCTTCTTCTGTGGTTGATATATTTCCTGAAATAGATAATTATGCATTGAGTTCATCATTTGAACAAATATTTCGTTAACTTATAAATAAAGGCAGCAGTAGTATAATGTTGTTCAAAAGTCAGAAATCGATTGAGAAAAAACAAATCCGGGTTACAAACTAAAATCGAGGGAAACACATCAACTATAAGAGGAAAATAAAGGAACAACAGAAACACTGAAGTGCAACAAAAACAAACGCCAACATACATAGAAACGAATTTTTTTAAAACAACTGCTACAAACTAAAACCGAGGGGAACACATCAAATATAAGAGGAAAACAAAGGAACAACATAAACATTGAAAAAAGAAGATACAAACTAAAACCACTTTAATAGATTAATTGTGTAAAAAGTAAAATAACAAAAAAAAACAAATTCCAAGAAAATTCAAAACGGAAAGCCCTTTATCAAACGGCAAAATCAAAAGCATGAAACGAATGGCAAACAACAGTAATATTTTCGACTATCATTTCATCGTGTAGAAAATAGTTATAGCTAGCTAAACCTCTCACTTGTATGATAGTCGCATTAAATTCCATTATACTGACTAAAAAGTACCGAGCATCGCCAAAAGAATATTTCCAAAAAATAGACTAAACAGTAAAGGTTAATAACTAACAAAGATAAACAAAAGAACAATAGAACACGTAATAAAGATAATGGACAACGTCAGTACCTAGAATCTAAACTTTAAGACCATCATGTATTATTTGTAAAGATGATATGGAATATTTATCAACAAGGTCTTGGTATCTTCAAATGAACTTTCTGCTCAGACACTGATGACGTTTTATAAAGTCTGAGTAGCAGCTGCACGCTCTTGAATACAAAAAGAGTTGTGAAATGAATATCCCATATGCACGTGAAGTAAGTATATTGGTACTCGGGATGGGGAATATATCTTTTGTTTAGCACACTTATATGTTATATTAAATCTTTCGCGACCTCAAACTTTCACTACTTGCTCTATCAGATCTTATCAATTTCTTTTGACTGTTGTTTTCATTATGAAATTCACAAAATGACAACAACGAGCGCAGCAAAATCAGACCCAATCACATGGAAAGTAGAATACGTGTGAATATCAATACAACTGTTGGGCATATTTATGTATTGGACATAGTAATACCATGGGAGAAGTTACTTATTTAAGCTAAGACATCTGATAAAAAAAACTCAACACAATGATGAAACTCGTCAAAATGAATGAAAGAATATACATACCAGCGATATGGGTTGGAAAGTTGGGCATGTGTTTTGTTAAACTTAATGAAACTTAATATGATTGTTAACTGGCAAGTCTAGATGATACTTTTGACTTTGGAAACTTCCAAAATGGCCATCGTTGCCATTGAAACTGCAAAAATGTCAAAAGTTTTAAAATGATCAAAAATGCTCTTAATGTTATGACAATTTACAGAAAGATGTATAGCCATGTATATACAGTAATTGCAACCTTAGGCCTTACTGTTTGACGTGAACTTGACTGATCGGTGAATGATCGGTGACGGATGTTTGACTGATCGATGACTGATCGGTGATCGATGACCCATAGAATCCGTCAATACGTCAAATTAGCTATGTGAGAGCTACCGTGACAACGGTCAGCGATCGATCAGTAAAGTAATTATATGCACGGATCGGACGGATACGTATATAATTAAAATTCTTATGTAAAACGAGCTCCACAGTATTGACATTCGATAAACGCGGACCTTCTTCTATACGTATTAACTTCCAATTATGGAACACCTACTCATTGGAATTATTTCCGGATGAGGAGTTATAAAAAAGTTTATGTTGCACACATGAAAGTTTCTAATAAAACCAAGAATATATACACTAAAATCCAAAGTTCACGGATTAAAATATTAAAAAAAAACAAAAAAAAAAAACGAAATCACTTAAGCTTTATACAATTAAAAAAAAAAAAAACGGGACACCCCTGCCTCTACCTTATCACATATGTACAACAGCTCATATCACAAATGTTCAATATATACGGGTTCACTTTATTAAGTCTCCCAAACGAAGTTTGGGAAGACTTATTGTTTTTGCTCAGTTCTTATTATTATTCTTCTTCTTCTTCTTCTCTTCTTCTTCCGCCGCTTTTAAATTTGAACTTGTCCGCACCCGTTCTCCAAAACCGCTTGTCAGATTAACTTTGGGTTTCACAATATGTTAGACTAACATGTCTAGTGGTGCAATCAGGGTTTGGTTTGTGCAATGGGGTTTATAAAGGGGTACTTTGAGGGGCAAAAAGAAAAGAGGGTTTTACTATAGAACCCTATGGGATTTTATTTTTTAAAATTTTCAAATGATTATAAATTGAAAACCGTTTGTGATAGACACAATCTTTTTAATTGAAAATGTTCTAAATGATAAAGCCCATTAAATGAAATACAGGGTTAGTCCCCAGGCACCCCCTGCCATTAAAGAAAGTTCTAATACCTTGTAAGTGGTCAAGATCCCCACCCCTAAACCATATATATTCTGGTTTGTCATGATAAAGCACATCAAATGTAATACAGGGTTAGTCCCCAGGGGTCACCCCCACCCCCTGCCATTTAAGAAAGTTCTAATATCTTCTAAGTGGTCAAGATCCCCACCCCTAAACCATATATATTCTGGTTTGTCATGCTAAGATGGTTTGAATGATATACAGGGTTAGTCCCCAGGGGTCATCCCGACCCCCTGCCATTTGAGAAATTTCTAATATCTTGTAAATGGTCGAGATCCCCACCCCTAAACCATATATATTCTGGTTTGTCATGATAAAGCACATCAAATGAAATACAGGGTTAGTCCCCAGGGGTCACCCCCACCCCCTGCCATTTAAGAAAGTTCTAATATCTTCTAAGTGGTCAAGATCCCCACCCCTAAACCATATATATTCTGGTTTGTCATGCTAAGATGGTTTGAATGATATACAGGGTTAGTCCCTAGGGGTCATCCCGACCCCCTGCCATTTGAGAAAGTTCTAATATCTTGTTAATGTTCGAGGTCCCCACCCCTAAACCATATATATTCTGGTTTGTCATGCCAAAATGATTTGAATGATATACAAGGTTAGTCCCCAGGCATCACTAATGCATATAACTTTACTGGACCAAACCAATTTTCACTGGACGTTGCCCAATGTCAGGTGACCCTGGGAATTACGAATTATGGGAGCTTCGTTTGGGAGACTTCGTAACAGCATCCTGTTACAATCATTTCTTGTTTACAGTTAATTTAAGAAGATAGATATTTTTAGATATTTGGATGATATTTTGGCTCTCAATAATGACGACTTCAGTATGTATACTAAAGAAATTTATCCTGTTGAACTTACTTTAAACAAAGCTAATACTAACAATGACCACTGCCCTTTCCTCGATCTTGATATCTATATCATTAACGAAAAGCTTAATACTAAAATATATGATAAAAGAGATGATTTTTCATTTCCTATCGTTAATTATCCATTTTTAGATGGTGACGTTCCCTTGTCACCATCTTACGGTGTTTATATATCTCAACTTGTACGATTCGCTCGTGTATGTAACAATGTTTTAGATTTTAACGAGAGAAATTTATGTATTACTGAAAAATTATTACACCAGGGTTTTCGATATCACAAACTAGTCAAAACATTTACTAAATTTTATCATCGGTATAAGGACATCATTCGTAAATATAGCTCAACATGCAGACTTCTTATACGTTCAGGTATTTCACATCCAATTTTTTATGGAAATATTCTTTATAAAGCACAAAAATGTCAGTATTCATGATCACCTCTGAAGCTAACAAAACCTTTAAATAGACTTATAAAGAAGGGATATAGTTACGATACTGTTGTCAGGTCATTAAAGATTGCATATTTTGGCGTTAATATTGATTCACTTATAGGGTCTTTGCATCGGCACTAAACACATTTATTTAAAAACCAGTTGTTGGCATGACACGGGTTATGTTCTTCTCATATATGTTATGATGGTATAATACTAAACCCCTAACGGGATGGATTGTGCCTGATATTCATATGATGAAGACATAATCTTTCAATCAGTTTAATTGAAGTCTGGAGCTGGCATGTCAGTTAACTGCTAGTAGTCTGTTGTTATTTATGTATTATTGTCATTTTGTTTATTTTCTTTGGTTACATCTTCTGACATCAGACTTGGACTTCTCTTGAACTGAATTTTAATGTGCGTATTGTTATGCGTTTACTTTTCTACATTGGCTAGAGGTATAGGGGGAGGGTTGAGATCTCATAAACATGTTTAACCCCGCCGCATTTTTGCGCCTGTCCCAAGTCAGGAGCCTCTAGCCTTTGTCAGTCTTGTATTATTTTTAATTTTAGTTTCTTGTGTACAATTTGGAGTTGAGTATGGCGTTCATTATCACTGAACTAGTATATATATTTGTTTAGGGGCCAGCTGAAGGACGCCTCCGGGTGCGGGAATTTCTCGCTGCATTGAAGACCTGTTGGTGACCTTCTGCTGTTGTCTGTTCTATGGTCGGGTTGTTGTCTCTTTGACACATTCCCCATTTCCATTCTCAATTTTATTTAGAACTTAATGACGAGGAGCGGGGACAAATTCATAAAATGTCTATTTAAATATTTTAAAGAGTATAAATATATAGTGAATTCGAAAACAATTTTAAGGTTCAAAAGAGTAAATATTTAATATATATATAAGATACAAAGGGAAACTTGGCACGTTCGTTACATAAAAGGAAATTTATTGTTAATCTACTAATAGAGGAAATGTGAAATATTTGGAATTTGAATATAACAAACTCCTTTTTGATGTATTGTGACTTCCTATTTGATGTGGTTCACCTCGATTCGATAGGTGAATGGAGCATTTAAGCAACATATACAGCTATATTATGTTTATAGTCGCTTATTTTAAGCATATTTTACTGCACTTGATTTTGAGAAATAATATCAAATTTACTTAAATGGGGTTGTTGAGTACATGAACAATTGACCATCCTGCAGATTCAAAGAAGTGTTCTCCTACACTGAATCGTATAGATAGTGGGAGTTTTATCACTTTTGAAAAAGTTTTATTATTTAATTTCGTTGTTTTACTATCTTGTTTTAAATATCAAAATAGATATGACCACTTAATGTTAATCATGGGTATAATAAATTAACTCAATAATCTGACCTTAAATCAATATAAATCCTTGAAGATAGCGTTTGCCACAATTGGTGAGGAGTACAAGATCAGTTAATTGATATGCAGTGTAATTAACTTAGACATGCACGTCTGCATTGACAAGCTATTGAACTATGGCAAAGTAAGATCACGGTCTCTGTCGGTTACCAATCCATGAACAAAGGGTCTTTGGGTAACCGTAAATTAAAATTGCAAATCTAATCTTTTCAATAGAAGAGATAATTAAAATTGAAATAAAATTAAAATATAATAAAATTAGGAACCAAACGTGTGCTGAATTGAAGCCTGACAACAGATGTCCAAATCAACATGAGAAACTATGTTTGAAGTGCAAATGAAGATTAAATGGATAAATGTTCTAAATCAAATAATAATAAATCAAGTTTATCGGTACTTGTGCAGCCAATAAAGTCCGTCACTAAACACATGTGAAATGTTTGTCATAATAAAATGTTTCGGAAATTGTTACCCCCTATCAGTACTATGAAGGTGAATAATTTAAATTTAAAAAAAAAAACCTGTATGTTAAGGACCGCCGTAACTACAAGCTAACAGATTCCCGAAGCCATGAACCTATTTGGCCGTTTTGTGGACAAATTGTATAATGTCATATAAATCTTGCTATAACCTATACAGAAACAAATCATTTCCGATATCTGATAAATAAACACCGTCTAAAAATAAATCTGGGTTGTCTTCGGATATTTCTGGATATTTAATATAAGAATCATGTTTGATGATATATGTAGCTGCTAAACTATTTAATCTAACTCTAGTTCTGTTCAAAGATATGTGTACAATCTGATTCCTATATTCCAATCTAGGCAAAACTCGAGACCTAACAAATTTTGACTGTGGCAGTAAAACCCGAAGGCAATCAATTACTTTAAAATATCGTGTCCTAATACACATGACCCCATTTGTCCGATATCATTTTAACCACAATAAAGTACTAATAATTGCGGGGGTTTTCGAGTGTAAGCAAGTGTTTCACTTTGGCTATTATCACACAAATCCTAATACCACTTTTCCCTTGCAACCATATTGTAGTTTTATTCGTTCCAAACCAAAATTTACACCGTCTACAGACCTTCCAACATGTGAAATGCATGTTTGAGATCACCCCCAGTTTTTGGTTGGGTTCGTGTTGCTCAGTCTTTATTTTTCTATGTTATGTTTTGTGTACAATTGTTTGTCTGTTGGTCTTTTTCTTTGTTAGCCATGGTATTGTCTGTTTATTTTCGACTTATGGGCTTGAATGTTCCTCTGGTATCGTTTGCCTCTCTTTTGATGATTGAAAAACACACCACCGAATACTCTTTTGGTGACCTAAGAGTCTTAAAGTGACGATCAGGCGAGTATCCAAATATCAAATTATTAAGGTACAATATATACAAACAATTAAATGGGGACACATGTCAAAATTGACTTGCAAACTTTAGCGTGGGTATTCTGGTATATGTTATATAAGATTTCGATTCCCAAAGACCGAAATCCTGAATTTTATCATCAGAAAACCCCATTTTCGAAGACTCCGGTGCGGCTCCGATCCTAAAACTGTGACTCCGAAAATTTGCCGATGAAATATTCGAAACATTCAGAGCTTTCTAAAACAGCGTTAACCTGATAACGTGTAACATAGTTTCCACAGTAGTGTACGAATGCTTTTGGGTTTGGCATTAGAATATTTCTTTACATGAGATTTAATTGAAGGTATAATTATTAAACTTCCTTTGCCCAACTGATCAGTGTTTGAAAATTTAAGGTAGATAGAAACATTATTTTCCAAAAAACTAAAATCATATAACGGCAAAGCGTGAGAATGTGCCAGTGATTTGTTGACTACTAATTCTATCCAAAAAAGCCAAATTAGACCAAACTAAACAACCCCGAAAACAATAAAGTTTCATGCTGTGAAAGATATACAGATTGATTTTCTAAATGATAACATTTTTGGTGTTATCAGTAATATTTCACATTTTACATTTAAAGGCTATACCAAAAATATAAGACTTGACAGTAGACAGAGCATAACCTCGCATAAAAAAAATGCTATGACGCTACAGATAACATTAAGTGAGAGTGACCAAATAATGGCATGTCCGTGTGAAGATCTAAATTGATCAGATGAAATGACAGCAGTTTCATACGTGTTAGTTGTGTTTGGTGAGATTGACGCCGTGAACAACTTGTTGTATTCAAATTTGAGATCACTTGCAGAATAGATTGTGTGACCTTTTCTTGTTCCTGTAAAGCCTCTGGAGAGACAAGCGACGAAACCGTGGCCACTGTTGACGAGAAATTGAATCCGCATTAAAGTTTTTGTTTGATTTATTATGTAGATATAGGAAGATGTGGTATGAGTGCCAATGAGACAACTCTCCATCCAAGTTACAATTTATAAAAGTAAACCATTATAGGTCAAGGTACGGCCTTATGAACTGCTTTGAACTGAATATTTTAAAACCATAGCTTGTAAACTATAGGTCGAAGAATATGCTTCTTGATCTAAACATTTTAGAATACAAGATATCAATAAGTGCTTTTTTGTCAACGTGTACGATAATTTTTTTATTCGCAAAGGTTTCATACCACTAATGAAAGGCTCATACAATAGGTAATAACTCTAAAAGTTTAATGTCCTTTAATTAACTACAACCTAACTGAAATGACGACCAAGAAAAGAAAGCTCAATAAGGGTGTAAATACGAAGCACATCCTCCAAACGCTATCAGTAAATAACTCCATATCAACATTTGATATCCAATCGGAATCGAAAAATATAACATTCGCCATTAAAACAATCTAAAAGTAACGAACAATGCCATATGTCTTCCTTAATTGGCGCGGTGAGCCTTATGTGGTGCCGAGGATTTGATACTGCTGACCTTGCAACAGTCTGTTTAATGCCCTACCGTAGTATCACTCTCGAACAAATATTCTCAAAATGCATGTAAAAGACTGGAGAATGCGTAGCGTTGTTCTTTTTTTGCCTAACATGTTTTAAATAATTGTTTTCAATTTCAGCAATGTCTTGGGGAATTTTAAATGACATTTAAATTGTTTTAATTTCAAACCCCAAAAAGATCAGAAAATGATTTTGACCAAACTGTCTTGTCATGTGCCAAAGGAACTTCTAACTCATCACATATATTCACTCATTAGGTTAAGGCAAGTTGAATCAGCACCCGGGCCTGCAAACAAAATAGCATCTAAGTAGTGTATAACACTATCCGTTCCCGTTTTGTCTTTAAAGATACATTCTACAACCTTGAGGCAAACAGCGGTCCACGAAGGAAGTCACAAATTTGAAACCAATTAACTCGAATTCATCCGGGTGAACGGGTAGAAGCCTAAATGCCGAGCTGATATATTTTTCCCAAATTAGGGCGAAAAATAAACTCATCATAGATACCAGGATTGAAATTTTGTATTTGCGCCAGACGCGCGTTTCGTCTACAAAAGACTCATCAGTGACGCTCGAATCAAAAAAAGTTAAAAAGGCCAAATAAAGTACGAAGTTGAAGAGAATTGAGGACCAACAATTCTTAAACGTTTTGACAAATACAGCTAAAATAATCTATTCCTAAGGTAGAAAAGCCTTAGTGTTTCAAAAATGTAAAGTTTTGTAAACAGTTAATTAATAATTATGACCATATCAATGATAATTCATGTCAACACAGAAGTGCTGACTACTGGGCTGGCGATCTTTCCTTGGCTACCCACCATATCTAGTGCGTGGTCAAACGGTGTATAAGTCAAAGAATCCAAACCCTTATCAATATAAACATTTACGCTTAAACCATGTGGAAACGATAAATGTTGTATAAGCCTCCACGAACCATACTTTTTAGAAAATAAGTCATTCGGAGACAATCTAGTATAAAAAAGAGGTATATGGTTAACGTTAAAAGGGCCATCTATTGTACCAAAATTAATTTCTGTCAATAATTTGTTTGCAACTTCAACTTCATAGCTACAAGACGGCATTCTGATTTTTTAGCCTAAACCGGGAATCTTACTAGCTCCGAGACGTTTGCACTCATTTTAGAAGCCCTCTTGCCTCTCCCAAATGACTTGACAAATAAGTATCAATGAAAACCAGAAATGCATCGGTCCACTGACTAATATTATCAATCTTTACGGTTGCTGCCTTTGGTTTAAATTGTAGGAAACCATCTTTTATTATCAAAGTATTGGCATTATCATCAATACGTACGGGGTTCGACAATAAACAACCCAGATCAATAGATTCACCATTTAAGACATTGTGTCTGATATTGCTTGAAACATTATTTCCAAATCATTGCTGATGCTAGAAATTTCATGTACATAATTGACATTAGATTCAAAATTTTGAAATGTACCTTGTTCAGTGATGTCTAGTGAATGACACACAGGCATTACAGACTCTGCATTAATTGCCGAATCTGCTGAACTGGTAGATGGCCCTGGTGCATTAGATGTTGGAATTTGTATTCAGGGCCCTACATCAAGTTCTGTTTGTGACGGTGTAGCTGTTCTGTCATTCTCAGCACCATCGGCTGATCTCTTTCTTTCAACTCCTTTTCCCGTCGCGACAGTTTCCAATTTAGACATCACTAACCTTTTAATAAATGAACACAGTGTAAGTAAAAAAAAAAATAGTTGTAAATCTTAAAATGTATGTATAACTAAATATAAAAGTAAACATGAAATGAAAAACACAATATCTATGATGGAAAATAATTGGCAATAAAACAATTAATCAAATGTCAATTTAAAGCATTTACCAAATATTTGTTAACGGAAGCCTAGTTAAATATAATTCACTGAGATAATTCACAACATCAAATAACAATAAGGTGAACCATTGATAATTGTATTATCTATCAAAATTGTAGCATTTTTATGAAAAGCTAATAAATGATAAAATTACAGATATTAAAGACAACAGCAAACTCAATATTTATAAACATATAAAACTAAATAATACAGAAGAACACTATTTAAATTGCTCGAATTTTTAATTTAGAAAAATGACCACAATTTATTAAAAGAAAAAGATATCTTTAAGTACCAAGAGAAGAAAGATTATGCAAAAACTGTTGGAGATGGAATTATTTTTTTTTCATAATCTGATATTAATAAAAAAAAATTTGATAAATAATAAAAACAATATTTAATTTTTTTTATAAATGTGAACATACAATATATATATTTAAATGATTTATATAAAATACATATATCCTCAGCCCAAGATCACACATTCAGGTAAATAAGATTGGATCCTTTTTAAAACATAGTCTATGGAACTGAGGACAGGGGACTCTTGAAATATTTACTTTCATTATGTAAATAAATGATCTTGTTGATAGTGTTTGTTTTCATTTTGTTATTTTGTGTTAAAGTAGCACATGCCAATACAGATTGAATTGAAAATAAAATTGAATTATAACCGCAAATAGCTTTTTTTCATTTTGATTTTTTAATTGTAATTAACATATATATACAAAATCACAATTGAATAATGTTTGGTTTTTGGCAAATTTTATCTTTAAGATTCCAATTCTTCAGTATAAGTCTTTAACTAATAAATATGTTTTAAGACAAGAAGTATTGATTTATTTTTACATTTCCTGATGATCATATTAAGATAGTTTGCTTTTATTTCATTTTCGGTATGATTTATTTTAATTGTACCACCGAATCGAATATTTAAAGCATACATACATTTATCCTATCTTCTTTTCTAATAATTTTAAAAGTCAAACAATTATGTTATTTACATCAATGAAATAATTATGGGATTTGTGATAATCTATCAATTATACATATTGAATTTGACATTGAATGGTTCTTTGTCACTAGATGTGATTATAAAACTGTATTTAAAGATTGACTATTGAAAATCGGGATTTCAATATTTGACAAAAATATAGTTTACATTTCTTGGTCACTTATTAAAAAACAAAGTGATTATTTTCGGATTGAAAAAGTGTTAGTTCATTCACACTTACGGAGAATAAAGCAATATATCAAATGACTTCCCAATGATACTTAGCTCACAAAAGTAATAAAAATATCAATGTAATAGATGCAATACATTATTTTGGGAATTAAATCCATACAAACAACAGATGGCACATTCTTATTCCTAAACTCAGGTCAATCAATTATACATTATTCATATGATCTATTTCAACTTTGATACAAACTTACTCGTACATCATGCACAGCCAAGCAGACGTACCACTTTGGTAAGGGTCATATTGCCGGTCGACCAAGAAGAGTAAATATAAAGAGATATATTGTGAGATTGTAGCAAAAATCATTCATGATTGTTTAACATTTACCTGGGCCTGTTATAGCTTGCTATGATATATGGGTTTTGCTAATTGATGAAGGTTATATGGTGAATTTTAGTTCCTAAGATCTACATTATATGTTATCTGATGGATAGTTGTCTCATTGACGCAAACATACTACATTTCGTTATTAAGGTCTTACCTTTCACTATAAGGAAAGACCTTTCTGTTTTTCTTCTGATTATTATTAGTTTTTTCCACTTTTCCATTGAAAGACCTATTGGTTTTGTTCTGATTAATATTATTATTAGGTCTTTCTACTTTTCAGTGGAAAGACCTATTGGTTTTGTTCTGATTATTATTAGTTTTTACTTCTTCCGCCAAACACTTTTCTTGCGGTATAAAAATGTTTTGCAAGATGTCGCTCTTTTCTTGCGGTATAAAAATGTTTCGATATTTTGGATATTCTATCGAACAGTTATTGCGCTTCTGAAACTGTTTAACTAAACTGTTTAGTCGAAGATTTTTTTATTGAAAGAGTTATCTCACAAACACTGTTTCTCTTGTTATTGTAACTCCTCCGTAACCAAAAAAGAAAACGACAATTTTTTTCCCTAATAATTCGTTACATCCTCAGGAATTTTCGGCTGATTTTGATCGAAGCGATCCAGTGACATCTTCTAGGAGTTATCTACCTTTACCAATAAAACTTGTCGTTATGGTTTTGAAACTCATAAACTGTAAGCCGTAGAAACCTAGAGTCCCTTTATTCGAGGTCCTTGGGTCCTAACTTAGAAAATGAGGTCAAGGTCAAAGGTCAATGTCATGTTCTAAATTTTGACATTCACTTCATATCCCTTCTACTCAGAAAGAGTTATAGATGTCGACAAAAAAAATAACCAAAATGATAATCGCGACATGATACAACTGGAAAGTTGTTGAAATTTTACGCGTCATTTTCTTGGGGTTCAATGCCACTGAAATGGTAAAATGAACAAATGAACTAATTATAGCTTCCAACTTTGCAGCTATCATGATGTATACATGCATCTTGTCTTAAATAATCAACCAAGGTCCACCACCACCGACCACTCCCACTTTTTCCAACCGATTCTTTTTTTACGAACTTTTTTTAAGATAGTTTACTTCTGTCAGGACTGAAGTTGGAGAAACAGCAGACTTTACACGGATCGAATTTCTTCACCTGGCTATCATACTTTCCACTGAAAAGAAAACCATTCTTAAAATTCTCAATGATACTGTAGTTAATAGTCTCTTCCATAGATCTGGTGTAATCAAAAAGTACATATTTCTCATTAGTGAAACAGTGAGCTAAATCTGTCTTCTTACCACTTTCCAAACAAATACAATCTCTATACAACTGTATATACTTGGCAAGAAATGTTTTTCCTTCTCCACCAACTGCATCATAAATCCATAACACTTTACGATCATCTTGTTCATCTAACAATCTCAATGTTTCGATTTGCCAATCAAATAATATACAATTCTGAATATCATACAACTGTTTGTCTTCTTCGTGCTCCCTATGAAATACGGCAAATTGGCTATCAAAAATCTTCTTATCAATGTAACTTAAATAGCAATAAGGTGGTAAAGTATGCATAATCTTAGACCACTTCATAGCACAACAATAAGATTTACAGATAGTACCTAGCCAGTCTTTGTCCACACCACAGACAACAGAGCGATAGTCCTCTTTGGTGATATATTTAACCCAGTCTTTAATCTTCTTCGGAGACTGGACATCCGTGTAACCCGGGCAGAGAAATTCGATAACCCAAAGATTCTGGAACTCTTCAAAGCTGTACTGGTCTTTCGTTTTGACATAGGCGTGCGAGTGTGCATTAGGCAAATAACCCCCTCCTGCTTCATCACTAATAACCAACCCAATAACCTCTTCATGGGTGAATTCCATTCGTGGGCTGAGGAGTCTCTGGGAAACGCGGTATTTAACTGGATACGAGAACGTAAGGGCGAAGTTCTGACCACGCTTCTCACTGGGTAAATGTCGTTCATCTCCCTCAACAGGTTCAGCTGGGACACCTCTCGGTTCACGGCCTGAACTGCTATGCGGTACCATACCTCCAACTCTATGGTCTTCAGGAACCATTTGTTTGCTAGCGAACTTTCTGCAGGCATTGCTCTTCTTATGTTTGGCTAAGGACTGTCTATTCAACCACTTCTGACAATTGGAACACTTAACTTTAACAACTTCTCTCTTTTTCTTTTCTAGAACTTTCGACATATGTGCGGCTTTTTTTTTTTTTTTTTCTTTTTTTAGCTAAGCCATTGACCATGTGATGATTAAACGTTACCTTCATTCTTAACTGGTTGCGCCAGTTGGTAAAGATATGTGACGCAAACTGATAGCATTTTATCATATTAACTCCCTCTACTTCACAACCAGCTTCTACTAAAAGCCCCTGCACTTTTCCTAAAATAATAAAAATAGAAGTTTTTTTTATTAGTATATTGACTTTACCTATAACAATAATATAAGGATGAGGCTTCAAACAGGACAAATGTGCGGATCTGTGGTGCAGCCACTTCCTGTTTGCTGATAGTTTGAAATTTAACCACTTTATGTACAATGAAAATTTGTTTTGTTTTACAACATAAAGACAATAATAGTGTATAGAGAAGTTTTTCCAGGTTTCTTGCCAGTTCTTATATTGTTGCTATGTCAGGTCAATACACTATCATTGTCTATGTGCATGTAATTTCACCTATATTCATAAGTGAATAATGATTAACAGAACACAATATTTATATCTTGAGATCTTCATCCTCTTCAACTATCCAAGTGTAAGTGTAAAATGCACCCTTCAGATATGCAAGGTAAGGCCTCTGAAAATAACAAAACACATTCAGGGATGTAAAACCTATCCTTGAGATATACAAGATAAGGCTTCTGAAAGTAAAAAAAAACACATTCAGGGATGCATTAATCTACCCCTGAGATATGCAATATAAGGCTTCTGAAAGTAAAAAAAAAACATTCAGGGATAAATCTTTGTTTCAATAGGGTAAGTGCCAATTGTTGGTAACACTTATATTTCATTTGGTATTAATTTGGTATTGGTACAAAAGATCTATCTGCATACATGAGTTTATGACATGTGAAATCTGTTCGGTTCTGCTCATTTTTTGTGAATTTTGTAATACAATCTTACGAAAAATTTGAAGAATCAATGAATTCGGTCCTGTTAATGCCGAACTCCAATTTCTTTGATTGATAAGGCCAAGGTCAGATGACATCTGCCAGACGGAAATATACACCTTACTATTA